AAGAGAGCCGCGCCCTCTATGCAATTTCGCAACTTAATTACATCAATTTGTACTATCACTCCCTCACGGTTTGCTTAATATCTTTATTTGTATAAGACATACATTTATACATTTAGTTATAAAAATATCTATACTATGATATACATTACATTTTCATATCACAAAAAACCTTTTATTTATTCAACAAAATATGCCTATTTTACAACATATGCACTAAGTTAGAATTCTTAAATATCTAACATATAAGGCTGAAACAATGTTCTTTATTTGAAAATACAAATATCTTAACTAATACAATAGTTTAATTTACATTTTTCCTATATATTTTACCATTAAAAACACTTTTAAACTTTTTATACAAAACTATCAATATTTCACTATTCTATAGGAATTTATACATGAAAACAACACAGAATTCATCTATTTTGCTCATACAGTCAACCTGAAACATTTTACAAGTCAATTTTACATAAATTGCTGAAATTAACAAACATTTAAATTTCTATTTATTTAAACTTTGATTCTATAGATTAGCACGCTGCTGTTATCTGCAACTAGATGAACAACCAACTTTTACCCCACACCTCGTTGTCGGTAAAGCAGGTGGCAATTTTAGCCTATTTCTCTGCTGACCATTATCACAAAATGAGCAATCAATCCCTGCACGACCCCCATTGTCGGCAAGGTAGTATCCAATAAGAATCTCTTATCAGTTATCAAAGCTGTTATCAGTTATCATGTTCTTATCAGATAACACAAAGAAAATATTTTATTAACCAAACATTGAAAATAGACATTTTATTTTCGTACAAAACGTATCAAACTTATATAAGACAATGCTTATGCAATTATTTTACATTAATTCCACTTATTCACAAAGTGATCATTTCGACCGGGTCCTGGTCCTTAACTTTATTTTAATATTTCTTTAAATTATAAATATTATTGGAAAGGTGGTTTCAACCGGGGAACTGAACCCGGAAACATAACTTATATCTTAAAAATTCCCTTTATGAATTTATTAAGAAAATATTACTAAGAAAAACGACGAAGTAGTCCGGCCTGGGAATCGAACCCAAGACCTTCAAATTATTAATTCGACATTTCTTTAAGATTCAACTAAGCGTTTTCTTATTAGAATATTATGACTTGTAATTTTCGCTTTTGGAAGCTATTCGTAATCGGTTAACTAATAAATTGAAATGTTTTTATAGACGCGTCGCCAACAGGTTCCTACAAACTTACTTACTTAAATTATTAAGTTTAGAATAAAAAGTAAAAATTTAAATAAAGTTACAGTTTTACAACGCAAATCGCGCATTTATTTTCATTCCTTTTCTTGTTGTGTGGGCTACAAGTCTATCAATAAGTAATAATAATTATATAAACATTTAAGATAAATATTGACATTGTTTCCATAGAGTTGAATCAATCCCTAGCGTCATATCATCATTACAGCCCTTCTCGTCCACTGCTGAACATAGGCTTTCGCCAAGTAATGCCACAAAGCACTGTCCTGAGCCTTCTGCATCCATTGAGACTTCCTGAATGTGTTACCAGGTCGTCACTCCATGTAGTGAGGGAACGCCCTACACTTCGCCTGCCGGTACGAGGTTGTCACTCGAGAACCTTTGTTCCCCATCGGTTGTTGGTTCTTCGAGCTATATGGTCGACCTATTACCACTTCAGCTTACTATTCCGTTGAGCCATGTCGGTCACTCTGGGTCTACTGCGGATATCCTACAACTTCGAGCTTAGTGCTCCCAACAAATACCGGCATAGGTGTAACATAGACGTTACTAAGTCCGCTATATGTACGATTTTTCTTTTGTGCATAAAAGTTTAAAAAAACAATATATAAATAACTATGAATATATACGTCTGTTAACAATAATATATTAGTTCTTAAGATTAAGATACTTTATGTTTCGTGCAATAAAGAATATCTATCTAACTGTCTAACATCTTTGAACACACGCACACACACACAAGGCGTGCGGACAAAGACAGTGCCGATGTAAGAGTAGATCATTCAAAATTGTCGGTTGTTTGAATGGGGTGGCAGGAAGTTGACTACAGATTTATAATGTAAAGTCATAAAAAGTACTCGATGTTGCAAAAAATCGATGTTTCTAACCGATGCATCGAAATATATCGATGCACAGTTTCAATGCATCACATCGAAAAAAAACATCGATGTATTTTCAAAGTGGACACCCCTACCCGACTGAGACTGACTGCATTAACCTGTTTAAATTGCATCTATCAGTCTGACTGTTGACTGATTCAGTCAGTGACTGACTGCGTATATATAAAAGTACTCTGTGCTGACTGCTGACTGTGACTCAATGCTGCCAGATTATAAAACTCATTCAGCGCTAGGACGACACAAAAAGCGCTTGATTTCATGAAAATAGCGCTTTAATAAAGCGCTAGATTTCGCGCTAAATTAACTACAGTTTTTCTTGAATTATAAATTATAATAAAAAAACACAAACAAAGTTCAACCAAATCGTTTAATTTCGTTATCATCATAATACAGAAAACAACATAAAGTTTTTTTTTCTGGCTATACTTTTCCGATGTACCTATACTTCGCAGGACATGGACTTATAATAGCAATTTCTGTCAACAGCAGTTAGTTCTGTACGAAAAATTAAAATGACAACTGTTTTCAAGTGCATATTATTTCGCAACTTAGTTTTAACAACATTCAAAAAATTAAATATATTAGACGTAATGAAAAACTACAAATAAGATTAAATTTCTGATGAGAAAAAGCTAGGCATCGGGGCATAATAAATGTTTTCTTTCTCTCCTATAATTAAAAAAAATGAGATTTGCCCCTTTGCGGCATTAGCGATGAACTGACTGAAACTGAATAAAGCAAATCATATGTGGTGCCAAATCAATGAATGGAAATTCGGTAAAAAAATTCAAGTTGATGATCATAAAGGGTGAGCCGGGAGATCCATAGCACAGGGTATCCTAGTTTGACTCCAGTCTCCCACAAATTTATGTACACTTTGTTTTATTTAGAAAAAATATGTTTGTAAAAGATAAATTGCAATGTACTATTTGTGGGAGAAAATAATAAAGCTCATTATTATTATTAATATCGGTAATGTAGACAAAAAAATATAAAAGAGTTAGATAACACTCTAGACATTACAATTTTAAAATATTTGCTAAATACACCAAAAAGCGCTAGGTCTAGCTCCCAAAGCGCTAAAATGGCAGCACTGCTGTGACTGAGATAACTAGGGATGGTCGATGATCATCGATGTTCGATTATCATCGATGTCAAGAATAAAAACATCGATGTTTTAACATCGATGTTGCCACATGTCAAACATCGAAACACCGATGTCATTAAACACATAATCGATTATTGGGTATCAACTAAATCTTGCATCTCCTCTAAAATATTAAAAATTTTGAATAATTCAAAATGCTTGAACGCATCGATAACATGAAAATATATCATTATGGGGTATCAAATTTAACTGTTAAGCATCAATCACTAATAAAAAACTAGAGGCACAATCCCATACAAAAGTTCTCTAAAAACTGCCGCCAAATGTTTTGAAGTAATTCTAGTTGATATAAATAAACATTAATGTAAATTCAACCTTAAGTGAAATGGCTAAAGTGATATTGACAAAGCAACGTACAAAAAGCAATAAAATTTTACGACCGAGGCTCGTCGCTTGGACAAGGATAGTGGAGTCGAACTGCACAATATTTTTTATTACTGTAATTTTAATTTTACAATTTTTTTTAAACTTGTTTTAAATAATTGGTCTACTTAATAAAGCATATTCTATTCTATTCTATGGTGTATATGTGTAATGGTTATATTATTACCTGAATGTAAATACTAAATATGCTTTTGGTTAGGGCATCACATTCATTTAGTAATGAAAGTAATTGAAACAGTCATAATAACTTATATATTCTTTATCTTGTGTGAAAAATTTAAAGATATTACTTGACAAAAAAGTTAAATCTATATATAATAGTTACTAAATATAAAAAATAAGTACGGAAAGTTCTTGCAAAATCTAAAAATATTATTGTCCAAATTTTGACGCAATGTTCATATTTACAGATGTTTAAAAAAAAGGATAAGACTGAATAATTATAATGATTTCTTTTATTTACGCGTTCACTACAGTCAGTCTCACTGTCACTGAGTTTTAGCGGGAACTTGACCGGCGGCGGTTTGCTGCTCCTGTATTATAGTTTAAATAATAGTTTGAAGTGGATAAAAGTGGTGCGATTTTATATATTAACTGTCTACGCATGTGAACTATTGGTGGAAACGGTGAAACAACTGCTCTGATGATGATGGATTCTCAAAATAAGCTGTTTGTCTGCATAGGCGCTTTGAGATACCATCGCCAACTGTCAGCTGTCTGCTGGCTCAAGTTGCCTTCAAAATCTCCCAAGGGTTGCACAATGTGACGCATCAACGTATCGTGAAGCAGTGAACTATGAAGGATAATTGAGTCTACTAAAATCAAAAACAGCAATGTCCGCTATTACAAAGTTGCAACAATACATAATTTTATTATTGCGGGTAGCTACAATTCACTGGCAATAAACTTAATATTTGCAAATAGCAGAGGCATAGCATATTCTCATGGGGATTTTTATAGGAATAAGCGGTTTTTGATTCAAAATTAATATTGTAAGACATGTAATTATGTCTATTGAATAAGCAACCATAGAAAACATTAATTTTATAAATGATGGACATTGCTGTTTTTGATTCTAGTAGACTCAATTATACATTTGGGGAAATTATAATAAACCGAATAAAAATACTCAAGACTTGGCCTAAAGGTAACACCAGGCCATAAACACCAAAAAAATCTCACTGTCACTGTCACCACAGAGGACTGTCACTGTTTAATGTTTATTTATCGTTCATCGTATCTATGATTGTTGGTTGAACACGGTTATTATTTTGTAAACGCAATAAGATAACTTAAAATATGGTATATAAGACTTTCTACAAAGGTAAATACTATATAACCTTTAAACGTGGCTTTGAAGATTGTAAAAAAGATATAATAATATCTATTGAAAAGTCATTTGAAAATGATAGTTTGGTAAGAATAAGATACCTTACACCTGTTCTACACATATCAAATAATAAATTTATGATTAAATATTTTTATTATAGACATTAACCTTATCAGACGACGAAGATCCAACTTTTTTATTTAGAATTTGTATAACAAGATGTGATTACGAAGATTTAAAGAAACAACAAGGGCTTCTTATAGATTTTGATAACTTTCCGTCACAAATCGTTAGATTATTACAACAATGTGCCTCAAACAATATGTAAGTACACACTATAAATAAATAAAATACTAAAAGCATATAAATTAGTACCAGTTTTTTTAATTTTATATTTTATACGAAATTTTTATAAGTTTATAACTTTAAACAATTCTTCACTTACACTTCAAAAAGCTTTCATAGTCACGGAACAGGTAAGACTTTCCATTGACGTCCATCGAGTTGGGGATTGATATTTTTTTTACAGAAAGGTTACATTATTATAAGCACATGCAAAGTTTCAACATGCCTAAACTCGTACTTTTTGTGAAAAAAATGATTGAAAATCAATTATTTTTGCAATATTTATGCCAATCACCATTGCCGTCCGTTAAGTTGGCAGTTGATATTTTTATTACAGAATGGTTACATTATTATAAGTACACATGCAAAGTTTCAACATTCGGGGACACATACTTTTTGAGAAAAAAAATATTAAAAATCAATTATTTTTGCAATATTTATGTCAATTTCTACCGTTAAACTGATGCCATTTTTTATTGTTAATGTCAGTAGGGATGTCGATTCTTTCCTAGAAAGATGGATTTTTTTAAATAGATTCGAATTGTAAGCTGATGTATCGATTCCCAAAAAATCGATTCCTAAAATATCTATATTTTTTTTTATAATGTAAATATAAATCCATTTTATGAGGAAAAAATGCCCTTCATCATGAAATATTAGGGGACTGATTCAGAAGGTTTTCTGTATCTATTTTGAGACTGCTACATGTCCGGCGCTATAAAATCACTCAAGGGGTAGGACAGACTCGTACCAGGTGGAGTCGGGGTCAATCAATTTGGTTCTTTGACATAAGTTGAACCTAACCTATTTTATTTGTTATCTGCCCTAATAGGTACTGTTAAAATAAAACAAATTTCAATAAGAGATCATTTATCATGATATTTTTCTTGTTTTTCATAAAATGGATTTATAGTTACATTATAAATGCAAACATGAAAAAAATATAGATATTTTAGAAATCGATTTTTTGTGAATCGATACATCAGCTTACGATTTGAATTGATTTAAAAATCGACCTTTTTCGGAAAGAATCGACATCCCTACTGACGAAGACAATGACATTACAAAATGGTGCCAGTTTAGTAAGTAAGATTAGACATAAACATTGCAAGAATAATTGATAATTTTTTTTCTCAATAATTACGCATTGCCGCATGTTGAAACTTTGTGTGTGTGCTTATAATAGTGTAACTTTTCTGTAAAAATACCTATCAACAGCCAACTCAACGGACGTCAATAGAAAGCTAAGCCACGGAACATTCTTTATTTCCTTAACAATTCATCTCTATAAATAAATATCAATGCCTGTTTCTTAGTCTCACAAAAACTTGAAAATGATGAAATTGTTTGTGTGCATTTGGGTAGGTTTCTGGATGGTTTAGATTTACAATTGGACCCAGTAGGATTCCTGTCGAGATCCAGAAATCACCCGTGTGAAGCCGGGGCAAATCGCTAGTTTTAATATAAAAAGCATTTTATTATATTAAAATTATAGATCTTTCAAAACGGAAATGGAATGGTGATATGATTTATAACCAGGATCAGTTTTGAAATTTGTACTGTTAATGTGTTTATGTGATTTAAAATTTGCTTTAAACATACTTTAAAAAATACTATGGAATTAGATATTTAGTTCTTCATGCAGAAATATTGTTTTTGGTTTTTTTAAAAAAATATTTTTTTTTACTTCCCAAACATCCGCTCTATAAAATAAAATGATGTGTCTTACCTAGTATGAAGAGCATTTCCCGCCCTCCCTCAATTGTGTGCACTATCCCCGTCACCACTAATCCCAGCACCGCTACTCCCAACACCACTACATTATATGTAATTGAAACCATGCAATATGCATATTCACAACTCTAGTCTTAATTAACACCAGCACTCCCCTCTTCTTGACAAAGTTTTGTTCCTCCTAAAAGCTATATCTTTGCATCCACTTGCGACTAATTCAGCATGTATTAATAGAATCAGGTGTTACTTTGCGGAAGTCCATTATATTAAAGTTGACAAAAAATTATGAATATGCATATTGCATGGTTTCAATTACATATATACTCAATTATCAATTATTATTCGATTTTATTTTATATATGTTATAGTTAATTGCATTGCTACTTTTTATTGGTGTGTAAATACAACATGTCGTTTTAATATAATGAATATGATGTGCATTAAAGATTAAATTGAAAATTTTAGTTATGTTATTTTGGGGATAATGAAATAAACTATTGTCCTTACCAATATTGTGTATATTCAAACTAGTGTCAAAAAATACTACAAATTGTTTCCCTAAGCAATCTTAGGAGTGAATATGAAGTGGTACATCCTATCGATGCCCCACCAGACCTCCACATTACATGCACAACTGTCTCGTAGAGCAATTTTGAGTCCGGCCAAGATAGAACATGTGGAATTCACTAGTATAGTATCTTACTGTGATGTATTATATGTTGTTTATTATTTATATATTCTTTCAATAAATGTTAGTAATAGAACTAAGTATATATAGGATGGTTAAACTTTTTAGTCTGTAGTCCTCAGAGGCGTACTCTTGTTATAGTCTATCAAAAAATTTAACCTTCCTTTTGTGAACAATTAAATAATATTATTCTGCCTCATAATAAATTTTTGTTATATTAATGTTCAAAGCATTCCAGGTCACTTTTCCTGTGTTGAAGAAAAATTTACACTAAATATTGTGTTGATGCTATTTTAATATCAGAAAGTTGGCTAAAACCATCTACTATGTGAAGTCTATACCCATTACCTTAATCAATATATATCTTTATTACTATTACATTTAACAAAAATCTCTTTTAATTGATAATAATGTTGCTTTTAAGATACAAGGTGGTAACTAAGAAGGAGACTTGAGAATGATATTTCCTCATAATTCTGATGAGGGTGTTTTGTTTTATAGTTGAATTATTTTTCAGGTTTCTCATCATACATCAGTTGAATCCTATGAAATATAACTTTGAAATTATTGAACACAATGAATTCAAAAGATTGGTACATTTGTCACTAAGTACAGGACCTGCTACAGATTCTGAAATAAAGCAACATATGGCTGAAACAATTTCCAGTTTAAAAGTAATTTTTCTGCTTTTTTTTTAACGCATTTGATTTAGTGCAATATTTTTATTATTATTTTATTTTTACTATTTTCCTACTAAAAATGTTACACTATTTGTTCAATATTATATATTGAATATTTTTATATAGAAAAGTTTAGCAGCTGTGAAAAGTGCAGCAGCCAGTAATGAAACCATTTTGAATGATAAAATGACAAAAATGGAAGAAAAAATACATGACTTAACACATACATTGTCAAAAATGGAGGAAGATAAATTACGACGTGAGACTGAATTTTATGAATCATTGAAATTAGAAAAAGATAGACTGATTCAGGTTATTATTCAAATAGTTGGGATTTGTCTTTATTTGCATGCAACCAATAAAAGTTATTATTATATTAAAATTTTATAGGAGAAAATACAGTGGCAAAAAACATCAGAACTTAATACAAAAGCCATTTTAGCTACCTCACAAGAAAACTTAAGCAAGAAAGATAAGCAAATTGATGATCTTAATGTACTTTGCAAACAACTCCGTGATAATGTCATGCAACTAGAAAATCAAATCAGGTATATTTTATTTTAAATGTATATAACATATTTCTATATGATTTTTATTTTTGTCATTACGTCAGATAATAGGTGGTGGGTTGGGCATCAAGCGTAACTGAGAATAACCTACTAGGTCATTGGAATGAGTTTGAAACCATATTTTAAAACAATTTTAGCGATAGGACTCAACGCATTAATTTTATTGAAAGTGAAGTACAAAAGGCACATATAGAAGTTGCCACTTTAAAAGCAAAAAATGTGACATTAGAAAGAGAAGTAAATGAAAAGGATAAACAAATTAGTCAAATGCAACTACGCCTTACTTCTTTAGAAAAGGTATATTTCTGTACTGGCTTAATTACTTCCTATTTCTAAATTGGGTATTGTTAGCTCAACAATTATATTTGACTTTAAGGTTAATAAGGACAATGCTGAAAAAATCAAGGACTTAAACGAAGCTCTTCAAACAGCCAAGAAAGAAAAGGTAAGGAAAATATAGGATTTAAGCTTGGGGTGAAATAACTTAATTTCCAATATACTAAGATCCCTACTTGACCATTCTGCTGTGAAACAAACTCAAATTTTGTGCATGATTTCGGATATTGTACATTCACTACACCCTTTAAAAAAAATTTCCATGTACAATGGAATGACCCTTCAGAGAAGGCTGACTAATTCAATAAACATATGAAATTGGCGTTTTCTCAAATTGGCTACTTTGATCTCAAATATCTGGGATTTGGTTAGGAATTCCAAATTGAAATTTATTACAAATTTAGGCTTGTATATTTGTGTTTCTTGAATTTGAATTCTTGAGTTTCTTGGATTTAGTGATTCATTTATTTTTCCGCCATTTGATTTTTCTTTGAGATCATTCTGTTCACAATATAGAAAACTTAAAATATCGAGCTATTTACGAATACAAATTCCACTGTGATTAATTAAAATTGAAAGAATTATTCTTTCAAATTTCAGCCCTTCCTGCCGCCGCCTTAGGTTCGCCTAGGAAATATTTATAACCAACCGAATCACTTGGATTTTTGTCTACATATAAAATTGTGAAAATTACACATTTAAACTGCCATGCTTTTAAAAACATCCTATTTTTATAATTATTTAACATTTTTATTAATTTAGGGCTAAGAAAGTAGCGGCCAGTTCACCACCTATAACAATAGTATACCTATTAAGATAGCCGGCGGCTACTATTTATATCCTCTTAAGAGAATCTCATTTTTAAATTTAAAGTATGTCTATAGTGGGCAAAACTGGTAGTTTTAGTATAGTAGTAATACTTAATAAAATATAAAAATTATGTATAAATATTTAAACTTTATAAAGTATATATAACTTATTAAGCATAATTTATGTGTACAGGAGAATTTAGAAAAAAGATTATCTCTGAGTGAATCCCTAGCTAATAAACATAATGAAGCTGCTCACTCAACAGCAGAACAATTGCTTAAGGCAAATCAAATTATCTCCAAGCAGAACTATGATTTAATTGAAATGAAGGAAAAGGTAATATAACGTATGAAATGTGCGTGATTTTTGGTCAAGAACAAAACTTACTGGTGGTAATATGTTACAGCTATTGTGTAGGACTGCCATAGCTTTAGAGCAAGAAAAAGTAATAGAGGGTTATACAAAAGAAATAAAAGATTTAAAGACTGAAATCGAATCCACGAAACTGGGAATGGCATCATTGAAAAGCGAATTAGAAAATTTAAAAGAAAAGTATGAAAGCACTGAACATGCTTTGAAAGATCGTGAAGAAACTATTAAGAATAATAATATGGGTAGGTTAATAATATAACTTTAACTCTTTACTTTTTGTTACACGAAATGTTTCATAAGCAGTCTTCTAACGCCTTTGCTTAAAAGTGTGCCTGCACGCTCTTAGGCTGCGCTTTCCCCAGAGATGTGCGAGGTAGCTAGGCGGTGCGAGGATGCGTAGCGAGGTTATGGAAAGGTGTGAGCGTTTCCACCAGAGATGTGCGAGGTAGCCAGGCGGTGCGAGGATGCGTAGCGAGGTTGTGGAAAGGTGTGAGCGTTTCCACCAGAGATGTGCGAGGTAGCCAGGCGGTGCGAGGATGCGTAGCGAGGTTGTGGAAAGGTGTGAGCGTTTCGACCAGAGATGTGCGAGGTAGCTAGGCGGTGCGAGGATGCGTAGCGAGGTTATGGAAAGGTGTGAGCGTTTCCACCAGAGATGTGCGAGGTAGCCAGGCGGTGCGAGGATGCGTAGCGAGGTTGTGGAAAGGTGTGGGCGTTTCCACCAGAGATGTGCGAGGTAGCCAGGCGGTGCGAGGATGCGTAGCGAGGTTGTGGAAAGGTGTGAGCGTTTCGACCAGAGATGTGCGAGGTAGCTAGGCGGTGCGAGGATGCGTAGCGAGGTTATGGAAAGGTGTGAGCGTTTCCACCAGAGATGTGCGAGGTAGCCAGGCGGTGCGAGGATGCGTAGCGAGGTTGTGGAAAGGTGTGAGCGTTTCGACCAGAGATGTGCGAGGTAGCCAGGCGGTGTGAGGATGCGTAGCAAGGTTGTGGAAAGGTGTGAGCGTTTCGACCAGAGATGTGCGAGGTAGCCAGGCGGTGTGAGGATGCGTAGCGAGGTTGTGGAAATGTGTGAGCGTTTCCACCAGAGATGTGCGAGGTAGCCAGGCGGTGTGAGGATGCGTAGCAAGGTTGTGGAAAGGTGTGAGCGTTTCCACCAGAGATGTGCGAGGTAGCTAGGCGGTGCGAGGTTGCGTAGCGAGGTTGTGGAAAGGTGTGAGCGTTTCCACCAGAGATGTGCGAGGTAGCTAGGCGGTGCGAGGATGCGTAGCGAGGTTGTGGAAAGGTGTGAGCGTTTCCACCAGAGATGTGCGAGGTAGCCAGGCGGTGTGAGGATGCGTAGCAAGGTTGTGGAAAGGTGTGAGCGTTTCGACCAGAGATGTGCGAGGTAGCCAGGCGGTGTGAGGATGCGTAGCGAGGTTGTGGAAAGGTGTGAGCGTTTCCACCAGAGATGTGCGAGGTAGCCAGGCGGTGTGAGGATGCGTAGCAAGGTTGTGGAAAGGTGTGAGCGTTTCCACCAGAGATGTGCGAGGTAGCTAGGCGGTGCGAGGATATGTAGCGGGCTAAAAATATAATTATATCTATGGCTGTTGTGAAAAAAAAGTAAGTTTCAAAATCCATGTCACACATCCCTCGCACACATCCTTCCCTTGTTTTTTCCTCTAGATCTGTGCTGAGCGAGACTAGGTAAATGAAGTGATTCTATTGATTTTTAACAAACACTTCTCCTGTGGAAACGCAGCATCAACCCTTAAACTACTTGACTGATTTTGACAAATCTATTTTATAATCCTAAATATTTTGACGTTAAACCGTTATGCGCGCTACACACCTTCAGTTTTAACTGTGCGATTTAACTGTACAGATAAATCGTACGTCCATACAGCCTACACACGTTCAAGTAAAACTGCGCCATCTATAAGTTTTTATCATCATGGCCTCAATAGACGACTTTATTGATTGTGGGGCTAATGTGTGTGTTTGTGTGTAATAAGAAAATAAAAGAAAATGAAAAAAAATGTGAATTGTGAAGTAAACACAGGCCTCTGTTGAGAAAATCGTATTCACACACATCCTTGATAAATGAATTCAGAATTACTCTAAAAGATCACAATAATTATTTTAGAATGAATGAGGAATTGAGGATACCTATTTATTTGCATCTGCTGTCTTTAGTGACACACTTAATAATGCCTCCATACAAAAATACCTCCCCATACCATTACCGACCGTAGCTCTCTCTCGGGCGTCTTCACATTTTAATCCTTCTATCATCTTCAGGCTTCAGGTAAAATCTGGACTCATCTCTGAATAGAACTCGACTCCAAGCTTCGTCATTCCAATTTTTGTGATTGTAAGCAAAATTAACTAGAGCTACTCGATGGCATGTGGTAAGAAGGTGGCCCCTGAATTTATTCCGGCCGATTTTAATGTTTTTCTCACAGTTTATGTGGTTACTGTAACCCCTGTAACTTCTAGAAGTTTCGTTCTTACCTCAGAAGAAGTTAAGGTCCCGTTTCTAAGCACGCTAGTAACATTAAACAGGTTTCCGTATACATACGTCCATGTCCTGCGAGTCTTGTACTCTTATAGTATCCGGTCTGTCGATACCCCTTGATAACTCGATGTACAACAGATTTTGATACCCTTAGTCCACTCTAACTTCAGTTTCAATTAAAGTAGCCCCAGCAACTTGAGTGGCGTTTATATCTGGCATTCACAGTTTATTTACAGTAACAATTCACACTTAACAGGATATAAACAAGGCAGTCAAGGCAAAAATTTAAACTCAAATTCAATAGTTGGCAACTCGTACGCCCGCAACTCCAGAGGCCCCTTTTCTGGTTGGGGAACACCGTCATCAAGGGGAAGGCCGAACGTCTTGACGACGTCGTCTCCAAGCGGAATCCGCCCTCTACCGATCACGCTCAGTAGCCTCCTTCTGGGTTCACAGAAGGTGGCTACGGTGTGTGTGCAAGAGATAGCATATGTAGTTATTTTTAAACAGTAGTTCTAGTTATGCTAATAACATTACCAATACTCCTGTTAACGGAGTGGTTCACAACAGTAGTTGAATTAACTGCTTTTATCCCATAATTTTTTATGGGTTAGAATCAGTTATTTCAATGTGTTTACATAATAATTATTTTACAGTCATCCAGTGGCTGCACAAAAAGATGGAAGATCAGTTTCCAACTTCTGATAATATTAACTTTGGTATCCAAAGAAGTAGCTCCACGCCATACTTTATATCAAGAAATAAACCGGAAAATACCTTGCAGGAATCAGATGATACAATAAATTTTTATGCAACTTCCAAGACGTAAGTTAAGAAAACTTTTACATTATTTACTATATTTTCGTATTACTGGATTCTGGATTTGAGTCAGAAATTACTTATTATTTATTGATAATTATTGCAATTTAATATACGTGGTAGAGCCATGCCGCAGCTATATTATGGTTGTAGCACGAATGGGTCGGCTCGACCGGGGAAGGACCACGCTCTCACAGAATACCAGCGTAAAATAGCAGCTTAACGCTGCTGTTTCGTATGATGAGTGTAGAGAACCGGAGATCCTTTTTACTGGAAACGAGGCATTCCATCTTAGTCCTCACGGGTGACAACGCATCTGCATTTTGATTCTTAATCGAAGATAAATGTAGATGTCACAGCAACCACTTACCATCAGGTGGACTGTGTGCTCGTTTGTCACCCTTATCCTATAAAAAAAATATTATGAAGAGTATACTGGCAGGTGGAGATAAGTCCAGAGGGTGAAAAAAAAACAGCATTTATAAAAATGTAGAACATTTTTAAGCCAACTTCTAAAATCTTTGTCTGTTGTAAACAGAGTTTTTTTATTATTATTTGTGCACGACGCAAACATAGCAATACCTCGAACGAAATGACTTACTGGATTGCTTGTGGTAACCATCGCTAGTTGAACAACCTGGGGACGGTGGGCGGAGCCAGGAGAATGTTATGATCGTCGGGGCGCGCTCACGGTTCCACAACTAGCGGTGGTTGCCCACAGCAACGCGGGAAAAGCCGTAGCAATAATATTAAGAAATATAGCTTTATTGTTAAATAAATAATATTGTAACTATGTAATAACTCTCGCAATAAAGGCACCGAACAAATGGCGAGAGTTAACATAGATTTAGGATATAGAAATTAATCAATACCAAATTATAGAATAAGTATTATGTGTAAAGTATATTCCCTTGTATAGTTCAATTTAATTTCATATATATTAAGCCCTTAGGCATGATAAATAATAAACAGGGCATGTTACCGTGACGCGGCCGCGGAGCGAATGAGGCTACGCGCGCCGCGCCACGATGTTTTATATTTATAGTGCTGAGGCGGGGGGCAGGGTCCTCAGCTCAAAATTGCGGAAATAATAACGTATTAACCTTTATTATGTAGAAAAATTATTATATAAGTATTAGTTAAATAAGCAATTGTAAAAATGTAAAATATTTAAGTCTGTACAGTAGTTTATAAGAAATTTACCAAATAAAGAAAGACGCGGGGGTGAGGCAAGGGTCCGCTGGCCAGCAATGGCCGAATCATATAAAAGACAGGCCGGTCGGAACGGTCGGCAGTCGCTCTCCAGCTACAGTAAAGAAAACAACAGCAAGAAAAGAAAAAGTTCCTCCTCAACGCCGCTTGCCTCCAGTAGTAAGCAAGACCAACGTGTTTCACTCATTTTTCGAACGGCGTTACGGCGATCCGTAATATTATTATTATATAGACCCCATGGGTGTGTTTAAACTGAAAATAAAATATCTGCCCTTAAGGGTATCAAAAAAATTAGCTTTTGATGTTGGATTTCCTTAGACTACTTCAAAGAACTAAAAATAATAAAATAATTTCTACAACTTCTGAAGTTTTGAGTATAAACTAAAATCTTAGCACCAATTTCAGAAGCTATTTTGTAGAAATTATAATCTTTTTTGCTTTGGCAATTCACCGTCATGCCATTTATATACTTGTAATACTAATTTTGATTGTAATAACTCCCGTAATATATACTAATACTATAATATATAATAATACTAGGTATGTACTTGTAATACTTTTTCAACGTTTGAACGCCTTATGATGATCTAAGGTGATCCAATCATATCATTATTTATTTATTTATTTATTTATTTAGGCTTACAAACTAAACACATACAAAACATTATTATTAAACATTTGCAGGTATAACAAAATTATACTATATATGTATTTAACTTAAAGGTATGCACAACATTTCAACATGAAACTTAAAATTAGTTATGAAATTAACAGATAATAAAATATGATATAAACACAAAGACTATTCTATGCAATTAAAACAGGTAAAATTATAATTTGGTAGAGAGTTTAACATTGTATAATTTAAAGTTGTATAATTTAAAGTTTTAATTTTCAGTTTGAGTGTAGTATAGAAATATTTTCTTTTTTAAGGAACCCAGACTATCACTAAAGAGATCTATATTACATTTACCGAATATATCATTGTATTTTCTCATCATAGAACATAGAGGAGAGTTGTTACCATAATTTTTGCTATTGAAATTTACACTAAAGGGACTAAAATTACACAACCTTCCTGAAATTCTGGGCACCTTCAAGTTAATTTGTGATAGGAGGGATGGACAATCCACTTTATTATTAAGTAATTTATGTAAAAGGCTTATAGATAGCAAATTCTTTCGCTGCTCCAATGATAAAATTTCGAAATGCGCTAATCTTTCAGAGTATCTGCGAATTGTACGATGAACGCCACTTACATAAGATATTTTATTTAAAAATCTTTTTTGGATTCTTTCTATACGCTGAATATTGTTTTGATAAGACGGGTACCATACGACTGAACAATAATCAACATGACTGCGAACCAGTGCAAAATAGAGAACTTTTAACGCTAAAACCGACTTAAAATCTTTGGTGTTTCTGAAAATAAAAGCTAACATTCTTAATGATTTGTGTATGGTATTAATGTGGTTAGTAAATCGCATCTGAGTGTCAATAGCAATGCCTAAGTCCTTCACTTCATCTACTTTCGCTAAATCTACACCATTTATATTGTAACTACTATTATATTTGTTAAATTTTCGAGAGAATTTAATGTGATAGCATTTATTTGTATTGAGAGACATTTTATTTTGCCGGCACCATTCTGTAATTCTATCTATATCCTCTTGAAGTTGAATTTGGTCTGTGTCATTATTCACAATTTTGGATATCTTTAGGTCATCTGCGTATAATTCAAATTCGGAGTTACGGATACAGTGCTTAATATCATCGATAAACATAATAAAAAGTAATGGGCCAAGGTGCGAGCCTTGTGGAACTCCAGACGTTGGGATAATTTCTCTAGAAACAAAACCGCTAATGACTACTCTTTGTGTTCGATCTGTGAGATATGAAGCAAACCAATCTAATAAGCATCCATGTATGCCAAATAATGTGTGCAGTTTGTTGATTAGAACTGAATGATTTACTGTGTCAAACGCTTTACTAAAGTCATTATAAATACAATCTACTTCATTCCCTGAGCTCATTCTAGTAAGTGTTCTGTCAACAAATGTAATAAGATTGGATGTAGTAGAGCGATTTTTAAAAAATCCGTGTTGTTGATCAGCTATAATATGTTTTATATGCCAAGTCAAATAAGGACAAATTAACGATTCAAAAACTTTACCTAAAACTGGAAGAATACTAATAGGTCTGTAGTTGCAGATATTACTTTTATCGCCTGATTTATGTAATGGTATAATTATTGCATCCTTCCAACGTTTCGGAAATATACCTTCAGATAATGATCTATTAAAAATAATATGTAAAGGTATCGTGAGCTCCACTGCGCATTCCTTCAGAAACAAGGGGTGAATCCCATCACTTCCGGCGCCCTTAGTAATATCTAGAGCCTTTAAGCACTTCTCAATACTGTCATTATTTAAATAAAGATTCCCCATGGAGAAAGCAGATTTTGGTATTTCCATTTTGTTTATATGTAAACTAATATCAATAGGTTTATATACTAATTCAAAATTTTCTGCAAATAGGTCGGAAATTTTTTCTCCATTATTAGCTTCTTTGTCTCCAAATTTCATATTAGACGGTATACAACCATTATTCTTACGTTTATTTTTTATATGAGTCCAAAAGTACTTGGGGTCTTTAATCACGCTGTCAACAACATTTTCAATGTATCTGTCATAACATTTTTTGATTAATGTTTTAGTCCTAACTTTTAAGATATTGTATTCAAATTTATCTAAATCATTCCTGTACTTTTTAAACTTTTGACGAGATTTTTCCTTTTCTCGTAATAGTTTTATGAGGTTTGTTGTATACCATGGAGGATATGATTTTTTGTTTTGTATGCGACATGGAACAAATTCAGTGATAACTTTTTTTATAATAGAGTAAAACTTCGATACAACTTCATCAACAGTCGAACAGTTTTGGAATTCCGAAGTCCAGTTAAGGTCAGATAAACGGGCTCGTATACTATCATAATTCGCTAAAAAAAACTTGTATTTAGGAGTTTGTCTTGGAGAGAGCATTTTTGCTTTACACAAAACTAAGTCTACTTCAATTGGGGGATGATATTTGTCTATACGAGAAATTATACTGTTTGATTTTTTAACGGAAATATCACAGATTGTGTTACTCAGCACGAGGTCGAGAATTTTGCCCTGGTGATTAGAGATCTGACTATATTGCTTTAGATCATAACTAGACAAAAAGTCTACGAATTCATAACCGAAGATATTATCGAAATTGCTGGGTTTAAGCGATGAATCTGCATTAGAAGGAGTCCAAACAATGTCACGCAGATTAAAATCTCCGAAAATAAGAATATCATTGCATGTATTATTAATGACATTACCAGCATTTTCAGTAAAATGCTTGAGATGAGTTTGATTTAGAGGAGAACGTAAGTAAACTGAACAAACATAGATTCTATAGTTACCCAGCTCTAGGGTTACCCATAAATCTTCACAACGAGATTCAAAATTTTGGTTTCTATAAGCACTAATTGACTTTTTCACAGCGATAGCAACACCACCTCCATCATTATTCTCATTAAAAGTGTTGGATGATCTGTCCCTCCTAAATACTTGATACCTACTATCGAAAATTTCACTATCAAATATACTATCGTTAAGCCAAGTCTCTGTTAATACGATTAAATCGAAATTGTTAGCGCTAACTTCCAAAAAGACATCAGGTAATTTAGTCCGCATACCGCGGATGTTTTGGTAATAAATGTTAAGAGTGAATTTTAAAACTAAAAACAATGACCGTTACTAAAAAGATATAAAATCTAATTTAAAGATTTCAAAGTAAACTGGTGTAATATCACTTTTGCTGGATGTTCATCGTCTTTTCTAACAAAAATTCTTCCATTTCTTATCCATACATATTTGTAATTATTCTCTTTCGCCCAGATTCTCGTTGCAGCATGCAGTGATTTATTAGCTTGGGTGAGATGTTCACTGATGTAGACGGCTGATTCAACATCACCAAAGCCTAAAAGTTTGGTGTTCAATTTTGCTTTGGGATGAGACTTGTTATATTTGTATACAGCTGCAAGTAAGTTGTCGCGTTTTAATTTACTGACAAATCTGCATATAACTGTTTTGGGTACTTTTGAGGCTGGGTTTTGTTTTTGAACTCTATTACAGGCAACAATGTCAGTTTCTGTAAGAGGAAAACTAACTACTTTACTGATTTGCATAAGAGTGTTAACTAAGTTTTCTTGTCTGTGCTCTGGTAGACAATGAATTTCTATATTATTTTGCCTCGAGTCCTGCTCTATAACAGACAACCTCGATTCCAAATCATTGACTTTGCGCTGCAATAAGTTGTTCTCTAGCTGGATTGTTTTATTCATTTCCACACAGGCCTCAACATTATTTTTCATTTCTTCAAATTTATTATTCAAAAAGCTTAAAGAATCTTCACAGCTGCGTAATTCCTTTCTTAATATGGAAAACTCTTCGCTTATTGCTGCTCGTACAATATCTCTTATTTCTTCATGCAAAATATTTCTGACAGCGGACCGCAGATTGACAGTTTCTTCAACGAAGCTATTATTTAAAGTATTACCCCGAGTAAAGGTTACATTTTGACGTTCGTCGAGTGATTCTTTAGATAAAGAGTTCTTACCGGGTGTACAATTTTTGATTTTATTACGCTGATTTGATGACATTTCTTGAATGCAGTCAGGGCATTTCCAGTTAGTCGGCTTTTTAGCACTTGTTAGTTGAACACAAAAGTAATGGAATTGTTTTTTGCAGTTAGTTTGAGAGCAGGAAATCTTTTCATTAGCCTTCAGAGGCTTGTTGCAACCGCCATTACAAGCATTCATTTTTAATAGCAAAAAATAATATAATATAAAAATATATTTACTTTACAACTCGACCGCCTGAATGTAGCACGGCGACGTTCAAGTAGTGACTAAACACAGCACGGAGGCACGCGAAGCGGGCTCGATGCGTGTTATCGTAGGTCAGCGTCAAAGTACGTTACAAAAAAAATTTGAAATATTTTCGCTTATATCTTACGATTCCCTTTGTATTTTACAATTCTGATTTCACCATTGGAAAGAGCACTTTTTAACGAAAATAATGTTATAGACACATACTATAGCAACTAAAATTTACTGCACTTTAGATTTAAAATTCACGGAGCGAAAATAAACACGTCAAGTTACATTATATATGTGTTATGGTGGGTCTATTGCAAGATGCTTCTCTGGTATACCTAATGACGTGATGAGTATAGATCAGAATTTGAACTAACATCGGAAATAAGTGTTCACCCAGCTAGAAGAAGCAAACTTAATGAATAAAGATTTTAGATATAATCTTAAAATAATAAGGATTATCTGAAGAGTGATAATGAACAACTATAATTTTATATAAATTTTTAAAACCGAATAGTTCTAAAAAAATACTTTTAATCTATGGTTTTAAATTTTCGCGTGAAAACGCTACCCGCCATGCTGTTCAACTCGTGACGTCACTGCCCTGGAATTTTGCAGATTTTGCAAAGGAATAAGATACTTTGGATGTTTAATAATGAGATCTATATCATGGTTGTGTTGTAACTGAATGCAAAAATACGAACATAAGAACGCCGAGGAAGTTATGGATTCAAGTGCCAACTGATTTAAATATGAGAAATACTTGGTTAAAACTGGCAAGAGAGCCGAAGGCATTGTCTACAAAATCTGAACTATACTTCTGTGAAGATCACTTTGTGTTCTGGGCATATTGTACACTTAATTATGCATATGCTTTTCACCCTCTTGATCTGGTCATAGCCTATTGCGGCATTTCCGTAAGATTCCCTTCCGGACCTGAAAAAAAGAGTTAGGTTATATGAGATTATAATAATAGATAAGTATAACTATGTATTATCAAAATACACTCTAACCTGTAATTGTATAAAAAAAGTTGGTAATAGGTACTTACATTGAGGTTTTAACATTCCTCAACTCGGCAGAACAAAAATCTATATTGTATGCAATCCTTGCAAAAATTTTTGCCAACATAAATTTATTTATCCTTGGTAGATTAGTACTTTCTGCTTTTACGAATCCGTTTTCCATGATGCCTTTTCAAAAAGATTCGGAATAAAACTCAATAATCGTAATGATAACTTGAAAAATTTCTAAATAGAACTAGCTAATGTGCTGTGTACATTAGCTAGTTCTCTTAATCAGTGACGTCACGACGGTATCTAATATGGCGGACAGCGTATTGCAGATTTGAGGCACAGATAAAAAAAATATTCTAAAAATTGAAATATAAAATTTATTATGCATTTTATAAATAGAAATCAATATTTCTCGTTTACTTTTTACAAAATCTATCATAAAAATATGTTTTTTGATTTTTTTACATGGTGTAAAATACCCTATTCTTGCTCGCTATGAATTTCATTGTTGGTCACTGCTATTGTCACGGTTGACAGATTAACTACCCAGATATTAGATCTAAATTAAATCTTTAAATGCCCCCAGTTGATAAATGCAAGTAGTTTAATATATGCAACGATTACTAATTTTTCTCCGTCGATACAACACGATAAGCTTAAATATATAAATAATATATACTTGATTTTTTTTAGGTCGAGTTTAGAAGACAGTCCTCGCATAGAAAACAATGAAGGAACTAGTAAAGTAGGCTTAGATCCAAAATATTTACAACCTTCTGCAGATGAAAACCAATCAAAGAAATCGAAAGGTAATTTTTAGGCCTAAAGAAAAATAAGTGAAATTGTAGCAGAACATGATTGAATATTTCACAACGAAAAACATACAGCTATGCTATTTTCTTTCGTACGAGGGCGGCACTGAAAATTTCGGGAATCAAGGAAGTGACACAACATTACTATTTAAAAATGTATTTATTGCTTTTCGAAGTATTCTCCGCGAAATTTGACACATTTTTCCATACGATGGAACCAATCATTGAAGCAACCATTCCATTCGGAAGTTGGGGTCTCCAAAACGGCCGTTTTGTAGGCGTCCACAGCTTCTTCAGGTGATAAAAATCTCTGTCCACGCAATTTATTCTTTATTTTAGGGAAAGTATAGAAATCACTAGGGCTTAGGTCGGGGCTGTACGGCGGATGGTCTAATAATTCTATGTTTTCTTGCTCTAAAAACTCTTTTGTTCTGTGTGCGGTGTGAGAACTCGCATTGTCGTGATGGAGGATGATGCGGCGGTTGCAGTTCTCTTTACGGAGTTCAGAAACGACCTGTGGCAAACAAATGCTAGCATACCATTCTGCATTAACCGTTCTTTGTCCCTCAAGAGGAATAGTCGCAACATGGCCGGTTTTGGAGACAAACGTGGCCACCATTTTTTTTTGCAACACTCCGTGAACGAACAATTTTTGTTGGCTTTAACTCATTTTCGAACACCCAAACTCGTGACTGGTTTTTTGTTTCGGGTTCGTACGCGTATATCCAGGATTCGTCACCTGATACGATGTTGATACAGCATTTGAGGATCCTGCGTGGAATCTTTCGAGAGTTCTGGCGCATCAAGTAACACGAGCCGCTTTTTGCTCTTCACAGAGCGAATGCGGTATCCATCGGGAAAACAACTTTTTTACACCTAATTGTTCATGCAAGATTATTTGTATTTGACTCATGCCAATGTCTAAAGTTGCCTGAATTTCGCGGTATGTCACATGTCGATCTTCCTCAATTAAGTTACGCACAGAATCAATGTTTTCTTGGGTGACTACAGTTTTTGGACGAGCTTGACGGGGATCATCACTGAGCTTGACACGTCCACGTTGAAATTCAGCAAACCAACGATAAATTGTGGTTTTGGATGGGGCTTCATCACCAAATGCAGAAATCATCCGGTCAACACACTGTTTTTGTGTTAAACCACTTCGAAAGTCATAATAAATCATCGCTCTTCAATTTTCTCGAGTCAATTCCATTTTCTCAACGACTAAACAAGTTTGATAAAACCTTGTGGCAAGACCGAGAATCTTTTTTTTAAATAAATAAATGGTATTCGATTTTTAAAACCAATGAGTTTTCAATTAAAAAGATTTTAATATGACAGGAACAGTGGAAATATTCTATTCCCGATACTTTTAGTGCAGCCCTCGTATGACGAGTGACGAAAACCGGTGATATTTTTTACAGTTATCGAGGCATTCCACCTTAGTCCTCAGGGGTGGCAACGCATCTGCATTTTGATTCTTACGAGTAAATGTGTGCGACAGTATTCAGTTATCATCAGGTCGACTACATACTCGCTCGTCACCCTTACCAAGCTCAAAAATAAAAGTGCATCGATTTTTGTATTCATCTTATTCATTAGCCATTAAAGTCCACTTCTCATCATAAACTTCTCCCATTATAGGAGAATTTGCCATAACGATGCTTACCAGGCGTTATGCGTCGTGAAAACGCCTGGTATAAGCGCTCGCAGTATGAAGGAATTACAAAAAGTATTTAGTTGCACAGTTAACAATTATCAACACTAGATTATCGAAAGGCCGTAATAGGCTGGCCCATTTTCAGCACGGGAAATCTTTTTTTAGTCAATAGAATCCTAATTATTGTTTCATTGTTTTAGGCACTGCACGATCAGTAGCCGCATCTTTTAAATGTCAAAAGGGAAAAGAAAATAAAAACACTGAGTTGCCAAAAGTTGATTACAGGGAAAAGAAATCTTCAAGAGGGACTTACAGAACTACACCTGTTTCAGCATATTTCCCATAACATTTAAGTTTTGTCAAAATGTAAACTATGAATTTTAACTTCCATAAAACTTGTATTGTAATAAAATTGTAAATATTTATAAAAAAAAAACATGTCGTTTATTTCTCCTTCCTCCCTCTGGATGGCGGCAATTTTTTTTAACATTTATTGTTAATGAAAATTGTTTTAACTATTCAAAGTATCGGCCATTACTCTTGATACACTGTTGCCACTTGGTAGATTATTGAAATCCTGAAAGCGGGAATCGAATTGAATCGATAAAATCTTTTTAAGGCATTTTCAGTTGCGTCCTTCCTTATCGGAGTTGAAAATATTCACCTGTAAAATGTTTCCCAAAATTTCGGAAAAAGTGGAAACAAGTAGAACAATGCCTGGAAAGTACGTTAGATGGCAGAGTTATTTCCATTCTAAACGATACGTTATATTAATTTGCAGTTAATTGATAGAATCAGGCGTTAATTTGAGGAAATCCATTATAATGGGATTGTTATAAACTAATTTACTTAATTCCGCGTAAAGAAAGAAAATGATGTGTCCTGCCCAGTCTTAAGGGGACCTCCCACCCTCCCTCAATCGCCCGCACTATACCCGTCGCCGTCAATCCCAGCACTACCACCCCCAGCACCACCACACTAGGCTCGACACACCACTCCCGATAATACGACACGTGTTTCGTCTCTACACGAGGCATCCTCAGGTGAAATAGACTCTGCGGAGGCTGGCCGCTAAGTGAGCGGCGAGCCAAAACTACTGCTATTTATACTACTTGCTGACGCAACCGCGCTCCAATTACGTAGCGAGCGATTACGTCATGCGATCAATCACCGCCTGACGTACGCCGATATTTGCTGTGAAATTAACAACAAACTACTGCGAAACTTCCGCCTACCCTACAACCACGCAACCAAACGCTGACCACCGCAAAGTGAGGGTGACAAACGACCATGTTGCGAGGCTATATATCATCAAGGAGCAGGCTTAAACATGTTTAAGAGAGGCGAGTTGGAAACATTTGTTTGTTCATTCAGTAGTGCAACATTACCGTTATTATTTTTTAATATCTCTAACTGTTCCAGCACACACAGTCGCAGCCCTTTATTACAAGTATGTAAGACTTTAAAGGAGTGGTCATTGGCTAGGCTGTGTCCAGTGTCTAAGAGATGTTTAGCAAAATGTGATTTATCGGGGTTACAATTCCTGTACGCGGCTAAATGCTCTTTATAACGTGTTTCGAAGTTGCGACCAGTCTGACCCACGTAAGCGGCTTGGCATTCGTCACAAACAAGTTTATAAACACCAGACTTTAGACGAATATCTAACTTATCTTTATAATTACAGATATTCCTAAGTGAATTGTTTGTTTTGAATGCCACGTACACTCCACTCTGTCGAAGAGTATTACCTATTTTTTCAGATATGGAACCTAAGTAGGTCAAACTGCCAACATAACGACGATCATTTTGAGGTTTAACCGCGTACAGAGAATTGCGTACGACAATGATTTCTTATATTTACGCGAACACTACACATTTAAATAAAACTAATTTTACGGATTTTATCGCGTATATTAACTTATTTTACATTCCCGACGTTTCAAGCACTTTACAGCACCCATGGTCACGGGGGGGACTGAGGTGTATGACGTCCCAATGTCATGTCACCACGGCTACCTCCACATTAAAAATTATTAATTTTTGTTCCGATCCACGCAGTATGAACTTACAGTATCATGAAGTCTTGCAAGTGCTTGAAGTAATATTAGTTTTATTTAAATGCGTACGACAAGTTTTTGTTTCTTTTTTATTACATTGTCAATGATATTCTTTGAATAACCGTTAGAAACCGCAATTTGATATATCACATTAAGCTCTTTTAAATAATTTTCTTTACTTACTGGCACAGTAAACAAACGATTAATATAACAATAAAAAGCGGCTAATTTATGTTGCCACGGATGACATGATGACGCAGGAATGACCGTGTCGGTATGAGTTGGCTTTCGATAAATTTGAAATCCATGTAACGACTCTTTCCTTGTTTTTGTTAAGTCGAGGAAATTAAGAACACAATCTCGTTCCAATTCAGGAACTCCCTTTTCATTGCTTCTGGGCGCAAAAAAATGAAATTGCTAATTGTTAATCGAACTGTCGTTGTGACGATGCGCCGTCGCTAAGTAAATGTGGGCTACATTATGGCAATCCGTAGATAAAATAGATACTGTGGTTCAAGTTTTGCTAATCACACACATGATTATGATGCTTACGTATAGCTCATCATCATATAAGAGTTAAGCTAGCAGTTAGTCTATGCCTGCGCTAGCAATTCTTATTAGTTTATGGTCTATGCCGCATTATTAGCTTGTGCTATGCCGACATTATCTCAAGTAGGTAGGTCTACTTGAGATAATGTCGGCATATCTCAAGTAGGCCTACCCACTCTTATCCTATGAGATAGTACCTACTCTTATCCTATAAAAAACATAAGGCATTTATACCAATATAGGAGCACTTGTTCCATCTTTTCTTCTCTACATAGTATAAAACAAAGTCGCTTCCCGCCGGCTGTACGCTTAGATCTTTTAAACAACGAAACGGACAGAATGATTCAAGAGAAAGGTTTATATGTATAATACATGCAAGTTATATATTATATAATTCTTCTGGCCGTTTGTATGTGACTTAATTCCTAAACAGCTGGACCTATGTTGATGTAATTTTGAGTGATTAAGTCGATTAGAGAATGGTTTATATTCAGAATTGGACCCGGTAGGTAGCCTTGTCGAGATCCAGAAATCAACCGTTCGGCAACGGCGCACACACACGCGCAAACACACACATGCACAAACGTACGCACGCATGCACACACAGACTTGCGTGCGCTCGCACACACTATAACTGATATGAAATCTTTGTATTTTTTTATCAACGCTTCTGTATATTCCTTACCTTTTTTATAAATGGGGAGCTTCGGCACAATTTCAGTTATATATTTTCAACAATTTACGCCAGCAAACCCAGGACTTTACATTTTCTATTATAACGAAAACCGCCTATGTAAACCATCAATATGACAAACAATCAGAACACTTTTATAATCAAATTAATAAAATATTGCAATTATTTGAATTAAGGACATATATACACAAGACACTTTCATCATCATCATCATTACAGCCCTTCACAAGTCCACTGCTGAACATAGGCTTCACCCAAAGAATGCCAACAAGCACGATCCTGAACCACCTGCATTCATCGACTTCCTGCATGTCTGATCTCTACTGCGAATATCCTCATTTTTAAGTTTATCACGCAGAAACCCCGAACATAGTCTTCTCAATAGCTCCCTGACGAAGGAAGCTGACTGAAGGACATCCATACACGTCTCTGATCCATAAGTCATCACTGGCAACACGCACTGGTTGTACAATCAATATAACTTTCAAGTTTTGAGGTATACCTGACGAGAAGATGTGTCATAATCTCCACCCTAGATGCATCCGTTGATTGACATCTCGGTCGAAGTTGGACTTACCACACTTACAACTTCGAGCTTAGTGCTCCCAACAATTACTGGAAAAGGTTACTACATGGACGTTATATATGATCTTTGTTTTGTCCATGTTCATCTTAAGACCTATCCGTTGGGAGGCACTATTGAGGTCATTGAGCATAGTGCTTGGGTCCTCCGGCGATTCTGTCATATGGACTATATCGTCGGCAAATCGAAGGTGAGTGATGTACTCGTCATTGATGTTAATACCGTATCCCTTGCAGTCTAGTTGAAAACGTCTTCCAATGCAGCGGTGAAGTTTCAGGGATATAACGTCACCCTGTTTTAGAGCTTTCTGCAGTTGTATGGGTTTCGTACTCTGGTTCTGTACTCGGATAGCCATCGTAGCCATACTGCACAAACACTTCAGAACTTCGATATACCGACAGTCAACTTGGCACCGCTGAAGGTACTATAGCACAGTCCAAAATTCGACGGAATCAAAGGCTTTCTCAGAGTCCACATACACAAGGCAAACTGACAGATTGTACTCTTCGGTCTTCTGTACATTTCGCCGAAGGGTATATGATCTATGGTACTAAAGCCTTTTCGGAAGCCGGCTTGTTCGGGAGGCTGGAAGTCGTCGAGTCTGCGTGCGAGACGATTCGTAATGAGTCTCGAAAACAGCACGTAGACGCTGTTCAGAAAGGAAATAGGTCTGTAGTTCTTCAAGAGAGCGTTGTCGCCTTTCTTGAAGAACAAGACCACCCCACTTCTGCTCCACGACTCCCGAGTTATCCCGCTATGGAAGACGGAATTAAAGAGCTTCTGAAGGACTTGAAGTTCTGGTTTTCCACCCGCTTTCAGAAGCTCCGCTGTAATTCCATACTCGCCTGGGGCCTTGCCTTTTTTAAGGTGCTGGAGAGCCATTCTAATCTTGCTCAGACTGACGTCCGGGATATCATCGGAATAGTGTCGGATAGTGTGAATAACAATACAAGAGTAAGCTCTTGTATTGTTATTCACACTTGCGTGTGGCTCCAATGATGACGTGTACAGCTGCCCATAGAACCTCTCAATCTCACTCAAATCTGAGTTCTCCCGGAAACGATGCTGCCACACTCGGTCTTCAGCTTTGACAGTTGGCTCTTTCTGGCAAAGATTTTGGAGCCTTGGTTGCGCTCGATCGCTTCTTCAATACGAGTTGTATCGAAATTACGTAAGTCCCTCCGCATTTGGAGATCTATCTGTTCAGTTGCCTGACGGAATTGGAGCACGAGGGGGATGGAGCGTTGACTTCATTAGACGCGACCTTTCCATCTTAACGTTTAGGTTCAGTGGGCCTCTAACCATTGGGTGATCGCTACCAGTTTTCACCCTCGTGATCACTGAAACATCACTGAACAGTTGCTGTCTAGTTGTCATAATGAAGACAATCAATTTTTGTCGTACCGTCGGGGCTCGACCAGGCCCACTTCCTGTGGGACCGCTATTGGAAGAAAGAGTCCATC